TTTTTTTTTGCCTTTTTTCTCTAAGGGGTGTTATGAGCATATACGGGGATTGGTTTTTGTTTTCTTTCTTGCTTTTTGTCTATTATTTGTTAATTTTGGTTTTCCGCTTGTTCAAGAATTTATAGAGGGGTGAAGCACTATGAGAAATGAGAACCAGATTGGAGAACTAAGGAGGGATCGTGTTCGTGTGAAGTTGGGGAAAATTATGCAGTGTTTTTGTTCAGGGGAACAGTTACAAAGAGATGAAATGGTCCCTTCATCCGAATCTCTTGCAACAAAGGATTATTCAGCCAGTGTTTATTCATCCCGACATGAAGAAGCTGAAAAAAAGCCTGATACTGGCAACATTGAAGAAGCCGAAACATCGTTACGTGAAAGTGGTTGCTTGAATTATGAGGTTGTAATAATATTACTGCCTTCTTTTTCTCCTTTTTGTCCTGCCTAATCTGATGTGGTCTAATTTTTATTCTTTTTTTGCATCTGTTAATTTTGGACATCTGTTAATGGATCATCATTGCATTTTGATCATATATCATAAGTCTGTTGTAAACTGACTAAATAATTCTTTAACAGGAAGCCAGGGCATTGTTAGGAAGATATGAGTACCAAAAAGGGAACATAGAAGCAGCCTTACATGTGTTCGAGGGAATTGATATAGCTGGCGTGACTCCAAATATGAAAGTCACGCTTTCTAGAATAGGAGAAACTCGTAAGAGGCACTCTCATAATTACGCAACGCCTCCAATGTCGGTACATGCTGTGAGTCTGCTGTTTGAAGCAATCTATTTAAAAGCAAAATCATTACAAGCGCTTGGGAGGTATAAAGGTACATTTATGATAAATGAATTTTTTTCATGTTTTTATTATCAGATGATCCGACAGCTATTCAATTTTTGTAGTCTTTCATTGATGTCAAGTTTTAACTAAATCTTGGGTTATGCTTCATATTAAATATTCCAATAAAAGAAGCCGTTGCACCCTCTATCTTGCTGCTCATTGGAGCGGCATGACTGTTGCAGGTAATGAAGGAAAATGCTATCTATATACCTTCTAAAATCTGTTTCTGACTTGAAAATGCCTATATATATCACATATTAAATTTTCAAAACATCAATGGATTGTGTGTGCCTCTATCTGCACCATCTCAAACTGAAACTCATTTTTCTCGCTGGCTTGTGTTCATGTCTGGCAATATTCCTATATATATATTTCATATTCCTGCCATAGTCTTTGTAGGTTTGCTGTTAAACAGAGAGGATTGGAAAAGAATTGCTTTCGTATCCCAACAGATTGTAAAATAGTTTGATTTATATTCTACATCCTTTTTCTGCAGAAGCTGCTCAATCATGCTCAGTTATTCTGGATATTGTTGAATCTTCACTACCAGCAGGCATGCCTGAAAATTTTGCTGCTGACAATAAATTGCAGGAGACTTTAAATAAAGCAGTTGAGTTGCTTCCAGAACTGTGGAAGTTATCTGATTCCCTTCGTGAGGCAATCTTGTCTTACCGGCGGGCCCTTCTCCATCCATGGAACCTGGATGCACATACTACGGCTAAAATCCAAAAAGAGTTTGCTGTTTTTCTTTTATACAGTGGTGCTGAAATTTTTCCTCCCGACTTGCGATCACAGATGGACAGCGCATTTGTGCCTAAAAATAGTATTGAGGAAGCGATCCTTCTTCTGATAATTCTTTTAAGAAAAGTCACTCTCAAGAGGATTGAGTGGGACCCCTCTATTTTAGACCATCTTTCCTATGCGTTATCAATGTCCAATGGACTAGGTGCTTTAGCTAATCAAGTTGATGAGCTTCTTCCAGGAGTTGTAGATTGGAAAGAAAGGTATCATATTTTAGCTCTATGTTACTATGGAGAAGGTTGCAACCTTGAAGCTTTGGAATTATGGAGAAAATTGTTAAAAAATAAAAAGGACTCGTTGTATATACTGGCTTTATTATTTGCTTCGAAGTCATGCGCTGGGGATTCACAATATTTTCAAGAAGGGATTATTTATTCACAAAGAGCAATTGAAAATTCGCAAGGGACATGTGATTTGTTGATGAGTAGTGCACATTGCATGTTAGGCATCTCACTATCGGCTAATAGTAAGTCTGCTGTGACTGATAGTGAGAGGAGTGAAAAACAAGCCAAGGCACTCAAGTCGCTTGAAATTGCCAGTACAATGACCAAAATGGGTAATCCCCTTGTTGTTTATCATTTGTGTTTAGAAAATGCCGAGCAGAGAAAACTGGATGCGGCACTTCAGTTTGCAAAAAGCTTGGTCGTATTGGAAGGCGGGTCCAATATCAAGGGATGGATCTTGTTAGCTCGAATTTTATCTGCCAAGAAGTGCTTTCCTGAAGCTGAAAGTATTGTAAATGTTGGTTTGGATCAGACAGGAATGTGGGATCGGGGAGAACTGTTGAGGACTAAAGCTAAGCTCCAAATTTCTCAGGGGCTTCTAAAGGAGGCCATTGAGACTTATTCACAACTTTTTGCTGTCATTCAGGTTCAGCGGAAAAGCTTTGGTTCGGGAAAGAAGGTTAAGGTGATTGTGATGCCCTATACTCACCTGTTTGGCATACTAGTTACATAATTCAGATTCATTATTCATTTTACTGTGTGCGTCTTCTGAACGAGTTGATGGGTTCTAGTGTTGCTTAATGGGTTAACAAGTTTTTTGTTGGCATGGATGTTTTGATGAGCTCCCTCGATCCTCGTGTTAATACAAAGTCTAATAGTATTAGCATGGATGGGTTAATCTTGGGCCTTCAGAAAAGAAATAACTGATAATTTGGCCAGGGACCATAATGGCATGTATGATCAACTGGGACTATGGGAGAATGAAATTTTTTGAGTTTTTCGAATTTTCTGGCAGATAATTTAACCTCTTAAAAATATAAGTTAATATCATGTCGTGTTCGTGGAATAAAATAGTATAGATCTAGCTAAACACCAATATTTATGAAGATTTGAGAGGGTGATTATGCTTGCATGCTCGAATGAAAGTTTGCTGAGATGTAGTTGAACGGCATCACTGGACTGGATCTATGTTGCTATTGTTGGCTTTCTTCGCAATCCACTGGATTCCAGATTATATTCCATATATGCACTTGAGAACGTCATATGTTGTCCAGTGTAATGCAATTTCCCATCATGCTTATTATCTTCCTGAGCTTACTTCTGTTAGGAGATCTGCATGTTCAACTTTTCCAATGAGAACATAGTCTAATTCCTAGCTTATCTCATTTTGTTCAATTTGTTTTAACGTGATGATGAGTCGTTTTTTCATTGATATTCAGATTACTTTACCATTAGGACACTGGAGATATTGGTCCTCTGAATTTGATTGTTTTAAACTATTTTTGTTGGTTTTATGTTTCAAAATTTCCATTTATTCATCATTAGGCGAGTTGCAAGTCAAGTTAGTCTTACACTGCATGCTAGTTTATTCAATCTTTTTCTTGGTTTATACAAATGTTCTGACTTTTTTTTCGGCCCTATTGCCAGGAGAACCTGAACTACATTAGTAATTTGGAGCTGGAAACTTGGCATGATCTGGCTTCCATCTACATCAAATTGTCTCGATGGCATGATGCTGAGCTTTGTGTTTCCAAATCTGCCGCCATTGGTGCTCTTTCTGCTCTTAGATGGCATGCTGCTGGTATCTGAGCTTTGCCTTTATTTCTTTTCCGCCTTATGTAGATTTGTTTTCTTAGAAAAAGAAAATGCCTTTTGTAGGTTTTTTTTTTTT